GTCTGTGCAATCCTTCTGCCTAGTCCGCCATCTTGCCCCGCCTCACAATGTATAACTTTTAAAGTAGTAGAAACCCATTGTCAATTCTGACTCATAGTAGTATATGATTTTTATGGAAACTGAAAAGTATACCATTACTAAATTTTATTAAAATAATACTTCCACCTATCTCATGAACACTGTTATGCATAAGCATTTACTTAAGTTTCAAGCTGGAAGAAGCTTAGAAGTCTTGGATGAAGACAAAAGGTAAGAAGGCCATATAAGATTGTGAGTGATACATTTCTATATGACTTCCTTTCTCAGTCACCCTCTTCCTATCCTTTGCACATTCAACTCTACATCTCTGTCTAGGCATCTATTGAGAGGGACTGATTTTGAGACTTCTAGACTAGTCTTGTATTTTCTTCAAGACCTGAGAGGTGCCTATGATATTGTCATCATATAGCCTAGAAATTTCACAGTGATTTTTAATTTAAATATCCTGTCTTTTATTCTCTACTAAAAACATATTTTCCCCAGAACATTATGATTATACTAACATATTGCTTAGACATCAGTTTACCTGAAACTATAAATTATTTTATTTTTTGTTGTGAAATTTTATTATAAAATGAGCCAAAATCTCTATTTTGTCCACCAGAAAGAACACTGATGGACAAACCTTTTCTTCAAATATCTTTATTCAGATACCTAGGAATATATCAGATAATGAATCTTTGACCTTAGGTTTCCATATTTCAGTCAAGAGCGTAATGACATAGTAAAAGAAGTACATATGCTTGGTTCTCTCATGAACTGGGGCCACCTCGTGATGAGAGAGGGAAGTGGATACTTTCGAGATTGTTTTTCTTGAAGGTAAATTTTGACTTGTTTGGAGCTTCTTTCCTCAGATACAAGAGTACTCCCTGACTTCAGTTTTCCCTAAAGTGAAGGAAGAGGCTTGGACGGTCTGGACTGGTCTTTCCCAGTGACCTGAATGCAATCTCTGAATATCTCCAATGCAGACCAGCTCTCTCACTCTTTCTCATGCATATGCTCTTTTTGATTTGATTCCCAAGCCTTTGCACAATGTATTTCCCAAACAATCCTTGTTGTAATTGTTGTTAGATGTTGTTGAGTTGGTTGTGATACAAAACGACCTCATGAAAAACAAACAAACAAACAAAAACTACCTGTGCCTGTGCCATTCACAAAATTGTTGCTGTCTTTGTGCCCACTGTTGAAGCCGCTATGCCAACCTGTCTTGTTGAAGGTCTTCCTATTTTTCACTGACCATCTATTTTATCAAGGCTGATATCTGTCTCTCTGAGGATTGGTCCCTCCTGATAATATGTCCAAAGTAAGTGAAATTAAGTATTATTATCCTGTATTCTAGGAATATTCTAAAGTACAGCTGGAAACACCCTTTACCTTACTTTAAATTTTGCTCTCACTAAGCAGCCTCCATTGTGTTTCCAAACGGTCGTCTTTACAGAGTCTTTCTTCCTCTGAGCAGCTGGTGGGTTTGAACAGTCAACCTTCTGGTTAGCACCAAATGCCTCAGACACTGCACCACCAGAATTCCTTGTAATCTTGATTAATTCCTCTTCCCAATGCTGGGAACAATCTTAAATTAAGGAGCTCTGGTGGTACAGTGCCTAAGGTGTTTGACTGTTAACCAGAAGGCTGGCAGTTCAAACCCATCAACCCCTCTGCTGAAGGATGATGGGGCAATTTACTCCCATAAAGATTTACTCCCTCGGAAACTCAGTGGGGTTCACTGTGAGTCAGAATCAACTGGGTGGCAGTGAGTATCATAGCTAATGTTGTTATGTATGTATATTTAAAAAAAAAATGAGTTCCTAAAGTATTAAATGTATTAGAAAACCCAGAATGTCTGCATTTGTATATATGACCAGGAAAGAGAAACACTCACTTTCAGTGTGTGTTCTGGTTACCTGGTGCCACTCTGACAAGAAATATACCACAAATGGGATGGCCTTAACAAAAGGAGTTTATTCTCTTACAGTTTGGTGACTTTTAGTCCAAGTTCAAAGTGCCAGGCTGTGAAAGCCCCTCAACCTTGGGGTCCAGGTCTGCCTCCTGCTCCCAGCCCACTGGAGCTAGAGGCATTTCTTCACTCAGAGAGCTGCTGGCTGCTAATGCTGAGAAATCAAAGATTGACAAGTAAAAAGGCACAGTCCCGATGTTACCAAACCACATGGCAGGTCATTAACTTAAGTCCTCTGTAAGTCCCAAGGCTGGCAGAGCTTAGCAGGCTGCTGAGCAATGACATGGCTACAATGCAGGATCCAAGCATGCCACAGGCTAGAGACTATTTCCAAGGCTTCTCCTTATATACAGGAAGCAGACCATATCTCAAAGACAGCTACTCAGCTGCTTGTGGTAGATTCCATCATGGAGTTGATTGCCAGTTTCATCATGGGGAATAACTACCACCAGCTGCCCAGCCACTCAACCAGGCCCAGCCAAGTTGACACACAAACATAACTACCACTGTGTGTGTTAAAAAAAAAAAAAAAAAAATTGAAACTCACTGTGGATGAGTGGGATCCCACTCATAGAGACCTTTTCTTGGGTTTCTGAGGTGGTATCACTACAGAAGTAGATTGCTCAACTTTGAACAGCCAGTTTTGCTACACTTTGAGTTCTGATTTCCACTGATTTTCTCATATATATATATATATAAAATATATATGATATACATATTATAAATATATATTCTTTTTTTCTTAATGATACATAGACTTGTGCTCTTGAAAAGTATGCTGTCCTGAATTCCACTGATTTCCCATATATATACATATATAATTTTTTTTTCTTAACAATACATACTTGTCCTCTTAAAAAGTGTGCTCAACAAAGAATGTCACCTTTCTTTTTGCCTCCCCCCATTTGTCTTCCATTCTCCCATAATATATTTCTGCAGAGTTAATTCCTGAAAGCAACTGATCTTGTCTCAGTCATGATCTTACAGGTCATTGGTTTTACTGGCCTATCTATACTTGGGAGCTCTGGTAGTGTAGTGCCTTAGGCACTTGACTGCTAACCAGAAGGATGGCGATTCAAACTCACCAACCACTTCTTGGAAGGAAGATGAGGCCATCTACTTCCATAGTGATACTGCCTCGGAAGCTCAAGGAGGGGTCATTCTGAGCCGGGTCCAACTCAACGGCACATAACAATAACAACAGCGTCTACATATCTAGGTTACTTCTGGTAAGCTCTGGTGGTGTAGTACATAAGGCACTTGACTGCTAAATGCAAGCTCAGGGGTTCAAAGCCAACAGAGGCTCTGTAGAAGGAAGACAGAGTGATCTACTTCCATAAAGATTTACAGCCTCAGAAACCCAAAGAGGGTCACTGTAAGTCAGAAACGAAGGTTACTTTTGATATTGATCCATATCTGGACAGTCAATTCTTGTCTTTGTTTCACTATGTGTTCTGCTCAGATTTCCTGATGTTTGCTCTGATAGTAATCCAGGCTCATAATATTTTTCCTACTATTATTCATTCTCACAACTATGTGAACACAAACTAAGAAGGGTTTTCTGAACTGCTCTGTGTCTAATTTTAGCATTTTGTGGCCTCCGAAGAAACAGTGACTAAACGAAGGTAACATAAAGATGGAAAGTAAAGTTTGAACCAGAAAATACCCAGAAGAACCAGGATCATTAAGATAGATAGCAAATTAGTGCCATGTGACAAAAATCTCTTTAGAAATACGTAGGAAAATATGATTTCTCTGAGCTTCAAAAACATCATTATTATTAGTAGTAGTAATTCATTATATTATTTGTTGTTGAGAATATTCACAGTAGAACTTGCACTAATTAGCAACTTTGACATATACAATTCAAAGACATTGAATGAATTTTTTAAATTGTGAAACCATTCTCAACACCCTTTTTCTAATTGTTCCTCTTCCATTAACATAATCTCACTACCCCTTAGGCTTCCTAGCTAACATTTGGAATTATGTTTTTGATTTGCTCTCTATCCATAGTTCAAAGCATATAAATTTTTGCTTCATGACGTAAGTGTATATTCTGCTTCTCCCAATGACATGTCTTTTACAAGCATAAAATAGATAATTCATAGGACTCATGGCTGTGTTGTATTTTACAGAATTTTTTAAATACTTTTATTTTATTTTGCATACTTAGCTATTTTCAAGATGTAATTGAATATTCAAAAGTCCCTTCCATTATCTCAACAGACAAGGAAACAATGAGAAATAATTCAGTTTAGAATATCAGTAAGTCGAAAGAAAAGGAAAAGAAAAAAAAACACTGATGCAGAACATAGTATTCTTCCAAGACAAGCTAGTGATGAAATGGAATGGATGATCTTGATTCACTGAGCTCATTTGACCTAGTGATGTCAGAGGATGTTGGATACATAATTCAGAATTTATTATAGACAATAATTAATAAATACTCAAAGATGCAGGAGAATTAGTTGCACTTTGTTTATGGGTTCTCACAAGTTTTCATGGCCGTAACTATTTAAACAGAGCTCTGGAGGCATACTGCCTAAGGCATTTGACTGATAACCAGAAGGCTGGAGCTTCAAATCCACTAGCCACTCCTCAGAAGGAAGATTGTGAAATCTGCTTCTGTAGAGATACTACCTTGGAAGCCCAAGGAGGGGTCACTATGAGTCAAATAGATTCAACAGCAGTGAGGATTTTTTTTTTTTTTTAAATCAGAATTATGACATATAGTTCATGGTCAACCATGTCAGAATTGAAATCTCAGGAAAATACTGAGTCAAGATGATGTCAGCTTTGTCCCTAGTTAGCGGAATTATTCTGACACCGTTTCTAGCTCTGACACAAAAAATACTAGCCATTTATCTTGCTGTGGATTAGAAAAAACATTATTGACCTCCCATCTTATAAATTATTGGATGTTACACAATAATTATACACTATCATATTTGATGTCTTTACAGATTCATCACATTACTGAATATATGATCATACCCTCATTTCATCATTTGATATCCGAGGTAATTTTGATACTCCATAACTTTTTCATGGCATTTTTCACTTCTGTATTCCTTAGTGTGTAGATGAGAGGATTGAGAAATGGTGTCGCAATGGTATAAAATACTGCCACCATCTTGTCGATGAAGAAAGTGGTTGGTGGACGTGTATATATGAATATAGTTGGACCAAAAAATAAGATGACTACAAAGATGTGAGAGGTGCAAGTGGAAAGGGCTTTTCTCCTCCCTTCTGCACTGTGATTTCTCAGAGAATGCAAGATAATAAAGTACGAGATCATCAGTAGCACGAAACCACTTACGCAAATGGCCCCACTATTGGCCACCAACTGTAGGTTGATCACATAAGTATCCATACAGGCAAGTTTTAATAAGGGCTGCAAATCACAGCAATAATGATCTATCATATTGGGTCCACAGAAGGGCAGTTTCAAGGTCAGGGCAATTTGAGTTGTAGAATGTATAAAAGAAAAAATCCAGCATATAATAATCAAGATGGTACAAACTTGTCGTCTCATAATGGTCATGTAATGCAAGGGTTTACAGATGGCCACATAGCGATCAAATGCCATGATCATGAGGACAAAAACCTCCATAGCACCAAATAAATGCAGTGCAAAGACTTGCATCATGCATTCATTGTAGGATATGACTTTCTTTTCAGAGATAGCATCCACAATTAATCTTGGGGTTATGGAAGTTGAAAAGCAGGTATCAGCAAAGGACAAATAAAACAGGAAGAAGTACATGGGAGTCCCAAGGGTCCGGCTGAACTTGATGGTCACAATAATGAGCAAATTTCCCACCAAAGTTCCAGTGTAGAAAAATAAGACAAATATGAACACCATTTTCTGTTTCATAGGATCCCGGGTCAGTCCTAAGAATATGAACTCAGTTATACTCTTGTTTTGTTGCATTGTTTCAGGAGATGTGGGGAGATACGTGGTTATAAATAGTTATTCTGCAAGGAGGAAGGCAATCATTTTATGAGATGAACATCTACTTGGAGCTCACATTCCTACTTTTGATCTTGAAACTTCTGTTTCCAGTGGGTAATAATTTAGGTTTCTGGGCATTGATTTTTTATGAATAAAATGTAATTCATAATGGTTATCTATTTACTTTGTTGCATATGTACTTGTAATTACAGAATAATAATAATAATGATAATAATAACAATAATAATAATAAAAGTAATTGGCTTTTTATATATAAGAAACATTACTGTTAATGATTTGTCATGAGTGGATAATTTCCTGAGGTGAATATTTTTCCAGTTTTCGGAAAGCATCTGTCAATATTCAAAATAGTGGGTTGAAAAATGTAAAAAAATTGTGTGTAACTTACTTCGTACTTTTTTCATAGCCCTCAAACTTGGCAGTCCAGTTACAAAATGTTATCATACCATATTGTCAAAAGTTACATTCTTCTCCTTATTCATATTTTTTTATTTTAATATATATATTTTTTTAAATTCCAGGAACATGGAGCCTATAATTAAGAAAAAGGAGAGGAAGGACTTCAGCCATGTATCTGAACCCCCCTTCAAATTTCACATTTAGTGTTTTCTCACTGAGGACCTAGAAAAAAGCTCTCAGGAAATTCAAGTCATATCAGAAGTTTTACAAGCAATTCTTTTCGTTCATATTCTTGACTGTCTTATGTTATGACTTCAAGTAAGAGAAGTAAAAATAAAAAGAAATTCATATTTTTTATATCTAAATCTATGGCTAACTATATGCCTGACCCAAGCTGTGTTATCTTCAAATTTCCTATATGCATGTGAAAGCTGTGTGATGAATAAGGTAGGCTAAAGATTAATTGATACATTTGAATTATGATATTGAGGAAGCATATTGAATGCATTATGGACTATCAGAAGAAGGAACAAATCTTTCCTGGAAAAAGTACAACCAGAATGCTCCTTAGCAGTAAGGGGGACGGGACTCTGTCTCACTTACTTTGGACATATTGGAAGTAGGAACAATTCTCAGGTGACGGACAGCATTCCTGGTAGACTAGAAGAACCTCACTCAGAAGAGGAAAATCCTCAATGAGGTGGAATTACACAGTGACTGAAACAGTGGGCTGCATAATACTAATGATTGTGAGGATGGCACAAGGCTGGGAAATATTTTCTTCTGTTGTAAGAAGGGCTGCTGTGAGTCATACCCTACTTGACGGCATCTATCAACAATGATATATGCTGTAAAGTCACAAAGTATTTTGTATATATTGTCAGATTTATCAGACAAATTTTAGTATAGTCCAAAGAAAAGTAATTTTCAAACTAGTAAAATGTATTTATAACATGAATAGCAGGCATAATTTTTCCAAAAAAATTGATTTCACCATTCCATCTTTAAAAGGATTCATCACAAATGAATACTAGGAAGAGGAACTTATTATAAGAAACCTTTTATTTCTGAAAAGAGTTAAGCTGTGAAAAATGTTTGTATTTATCACAGTTTAAGACACTGAGATTAAAATGCCAACTATGTTTTTTAAACCTATTGGATTGTTAAAGTGATTTGTGTGTGTGTGTGTGTGTGTGTCATAGATAATTGTTAATATATAGACTGGCAAGTGTGGAAAACCACAAAATTTGTACATTTTTGGTAAGTATTTAAAAAGTGCAATCTCCTGGTGGTTATTTTTCAACATCCATAATCTTAGTGCTACATCTGCTACTGACTCAATTTCTGTAGAAACACTTACTCACATGAACAAAGACGATCATTCTGGTCCTTATCATGGTACAAAAGATAAGAAACAAATGTCCATCATAGTACTTTTATGCAATCATCAATAAAAACAAAGCAGATATATATGCAAGGGTCTTTAAAACATATTGGAAAGTAGAACATCAGAGGACAGAAGCATATGCTTATAATAATAATATTTCCACTAAAGTTGGGAAAATATACATTCCACGTATTAATGTTTTACATAAATGAATTGTGTTTAGAAAGCTGTAAAGAAACTTATAATATTTGTAGTTAGACTCTGGGGAGAGAAATTGTATTCTAGGAGTCAGAGATGGACAAAAAGCTGCTTTTAGAGATGTGTTTGTTGGTAATATTTGAAAATATGTCTTAAGCATGGTTTGTGAAACAAGAAATATTTGAAAAATCGTATCATAGGAGATAGTCTGATTAACTTATTTAAATTGTAACAACACTGAACTCTCCAACAATCTTGTGATGTGGCAGAAGGGCCCAGAATATTTTTAGGGCAACACTAAATCGCAAGAGTTGGAGGAAGAAGTGAGTCAGTTATGGCAGCAGGTGTGAAGTTCAGTGCTTTTTGACCCCCCAACCATACACCAGCACACAGCCAATGAACTTCAAGCTCACTTACATTCTATGACATTTTAGAAATACACTGTTGCCAAACACTTTAACACAGATAATTAAATATTGTTTGCAGTTCCTGAGAAATGAGTAAAATATATGTATATGTGCGCATGTTTTATAATATATGTTATACATAAACTGGAATACTTTTTTGTCTATCTATAAACGAAAAAAAAAAAAAACTCACTGCTGTCGAGTCCGATCCAACTCAGAGCAACCCCTCCTTGGGTTTCTGGGGCAGTATCACTACAGAAGTAGATTGCCCAAGCTTCCTTCTGGAGAGTGGCTTGTGGGTTTGAACTACCAGCCTTCCAGTTAGCTGTCAGATGCCTTAGACACACACATATTCATTGTTGTGTGATCTCAAACTCTTTCAGACTGATAAGCCTACTGCCAGTGAGTCCATTTTGAGGCATAGCAGCACTGTGAAACAGGATAGAAGTGTCCCTTGGGTGTCCTAGGCTGTAATCTTTATGGGAGAAGATCACTGCATCTTTTGTACCATAGAGCAGCTGGGTGGGCTCAAATTGCCAATCTTCCAGTTAGCAAACATCAAATTGTGTACTACCGGAGCTCCTTGTGTGTGTATATGTATATACATGTTGTTGTTGTTGTTATGTGCCATCGAGTCGGACCCAACTCATAGAGATCCCTCCTTGGGTTTCCGAGGCAGTATCACTA